GCCCCATGTCTTCCATCTAGAGACCCTCGATGTACCAGATTAACAGCACATTATCGTCCAGAGCTCCCGCAACCCCAAAAACACCCAATTCTAAATAAGCAAGATGTGCGGAAATGTGGTGATAATTCTTGCTTGATATTCGTATGCTCTTGAGAGTCTGGAGACAAGAGGACTTGGTTAACGAGATTCACCAACACTTCTCACACACACACACACACATGCACACACAACCCCCTGGGAAGAAAGACTCTTCCATCGAATACCAAGCAGGGCTTGACCTCCACCAAATTGAAGTGTGTAGCTATTAGATGTGTCATAGGGAGACCCCCTTCAGCCTCTGCGCTCTTTTTTTCTAGGTGGTCCTTTTGAGGTCATCCTGCACCCAGGTCCCGCATGAACACCGCTATGGTGCATCGACTGAACACCGCTCAAGCATCAACATGGACGTTGAGACTGCTTCCGCGAAGACAATCATTGGGCCATCCTCGGAGTGGCGGCCCATCCGCAACCATCCCGGATCCGGGATGAAAAGGAGCAGTTTGGGTTCTCGTGCCATGGCAGAACAAGCCATCCGAAGCAAACCAAAGAGAAGGACCCCTTGCTGCCCTCACCCGCATGGGTTCGCATGGGTTGGTGTACTGTTGGGCTGCAGGGACCTCCCCCCCAATAATGGCACATCAAATCCAGGTATGTTTATGTTGTCCACTTACAGCCAAGTTCTAAGAATCATTGAAAAAGAAAAAGTGCAGAAAAAAAGCAAAAAAAGAGCAAAACCAAAAAGCAGAAAGAAAAACTGTCTGGATAAGAAGTGCAGAAACAAAGCAGAAAAAAAGCAAACAAAAGTGCAAAAAACAAGCAAACAAAAAAGGGAAAAAAAAAACAAACAAAAAAGGGAAAAAAAACAAACAAAAAAAACAAACAAAAAAGCAATTTTTCACCCACTTTTCCCCACTTTTTTTGTGGCTCTGGAATTTGTTCTCCCACTTTTTCCCCACTTTTTCCCCACTTTTTTTGTGGCTCTGGAAATGCCAAAACTTTGCACTTTCCTCGAAAAAAAGCAAAAAAAGTGCGAAAAAAGTGCGAAAAAAGTGCAAAAAAAGTGCAAAAAAAGAGCAAAAAAAGTGCAAAAACAAGTGCAAAAAAAAGTGCAAAAAAAGTGCAAAAAAAAGTGCAAAAAAGAAGCGTGCCCAATTTGCCTCCAAAAAAATGCTCTTTTTTGCTTTTTTGTTTGCTTTTTTTTGCTCTTTTTTTTGCTCTTTTTTTGCTTTTCTTGAACGTTGCTATTTTGTGTTTGCTTTTCATGCACGCACTTTTTCTGCACTTTTTTTGCACTTTTTTTGTTTCCCATACTCCCATAGAAGTTGGCTAACTGGCCAACATAAAGGTATGTGTTGTTTCTACAAAGAAAATCTTCACAAGAGAGCCAAAAAGAACTCAAACGTGATCAATCAAATATGAGGATATGAGGCACCTGTGTAACACAAGGTGTTAAATGATGAACATCTTCACCCTGGATGTTTCTTGACGACTTCAAGACTCATGTCACTCATGGTACGAGACTTGGGTGACTTCTCCACTCCTCCTTCACAAGTCCGCCGAGGCTCCACGATCTTCAAATGAAGGCTAGCGGTGGTGACCAACAAGGTGACACAAAAGGACACAATGCAGTCGCTGAGGTTCAGCATGGGCACCTCAAGATCCAGATGTCATACCAATTGGATCATGTTACGTCATCGGCCCCCCATGGACTTTGGGTTTTTCAAAGTGGCCCATCCTGACCAAGCACCGAACATCTCCCATGTTTCACGGAGGATCCTGATTTTTTCATGGAGCAAATATCAAGGGGCGTCAAGATGAAGAAGAAGAAGAAGAACAAGGAACACAACAGAAAAACATGGTTTGACAATAGTTCTCTTCTACAAACCAGTGGCGAACTGCAAGGTCATTTGGGCAGTTCGGAGTCTGTGGATTTTGGGGGTGCAAGTGATCGAAGCCTTTCCATGGCTTGCAGTCTCCTCTGCTTTCCGCGCCACCACCGCACACCCATCCCACCAACTCCTACACCGCGCGGCGTCCCGGCTTCGGACAACGAGTCGGTCCGGCCACTTGGAACACCACGACCGGTGTATAAGATCAATCGGGGTCCCGCCCGCCACGCGGAACTCCCGTCCATCGCACCTTCCAGGGCCAGAAGATCATCTGCCCCACCTCACGAGGGCAAGGGGGCACCAATGGGGTGGGGAAAACACGCGGCCAACCTGAAAGGTGCACCCCACAAAAGAAGCACGTGCTGGGGGGTGCACGCGTACATGTGTTTAATGATTTTATTGATTTAATCTTATTCCTTCAATTATAGTTATTTAATGTAAATTAATTATACACATTACAACGTGCCCACGAGCCTCCAAATCACCTTGTAAACTGCCAATGGGTCAATGATGTCCTTTTTGACCAACACACAGTATGATTCCAGCTGAAAAGCCAATTGTTATCAGCATCGGGATTTAGGAAGTCTCCGGGCACAATTAAGCTGGCACTCCCTGTAGGACCATCATGAGACCTGGACAGTCACTCAAGCAACTGGCAGACAACTGGTCTCTGACTTTCAGCTGGGAATGGTAAATCAACTGACTACATCATCAACTGACTAATCATCACGTCGAGAAATGAATGCCAACGACAATGCTGTGAAGTCAAAGACGATGTTGTGGAGCCGATGATGTTTTGAGCCCGATGAACATAATGTTGCGAAGCCAATGAAACTGATGTGACAGCATTCGATGATCCACCCGCCCTCCCCTCCTTGCCCCCCAGCCCAATTTAATCACGCCCTCTTCGATGACAATGAATGCCGATGACAATGTTGTGAATTCAATGACAATGCTGTGGAGCTGATGATAAAGTTGTTGACCCAATGATGGTGATGTGAAAACATGGCGATGCTCTATGAAAACAATAGCAAAATGCTGAGGATGTTGTGAAGTTGGGCAACCCCCCGTTGCGCGCGAGACTATATCATGCACAGGATGGCCCAGGCCCGATACCAAAATAGTAACCAAACGGGAGACGTGGTAATTGTTCATTCATGTCATGTGAGTGCCTGAATGGATCTTGTCAAATGGTCTTCTGTGCATGCATTATGGTGAAGCATCATCAATGGGTTGCCGTTGCATACAACTTGCACACACAATGTTTGCAGCATGTTGCGTGAACAGGGGGGTTGCGGTTTGCCCGGAAAGCAACATCCTGCGTTTACATGTTTTTTTGTTTGCCTTTCGGGCCACTCAACTCATCGTCTTAGAGTTCATGAACTCAAAGACGATGACTTGAGTAGATCATCATCAGTTCATCCTATGCATCATGCCCGTAACGCATCAGTGCATCGTCCGCATCATGTCCGTAACGCCATCATGCAACCAAAGTTGATCATCTTGGCCCCACGCCCACCCCCCAACCCCCCTGGAAGCAATCACACATAATGTCGTAGCACATCAGTTCATCCCAGATTCATCCCACGCATCATATCAGTAACGCATCAGCTCATCCCACTTATCACCGTAACGCATCAGCGCATCATCCGCATCATGCACGTGGCGCATCAGCTCATCATCCCATCATCCGCATAATAATAGTAATAACAATAATATATATAGTAATAATAATAATCATCATCAGCAGCAGCAGCAAAGTGGATCATCTGCATCCGACCAGACCATGAGTCATCGGAAAGGCAAACCTTTCTGGGCAACCCCCCCCGTTGACCCAACATGTTGCAACTATGTTTAGCTGTTTAAGGCTAGTCTAGTCCTAGAAAACCGGGTGCACACTGCGTCAGCGCGTCGGACTAAGTCAAGCAATGGATCGACCACGGAAGTATATATAGTTATTTTTCCCAAACATGGAGACCCCAGTCCCAACCAGAAACGGTTCTGGGGAAGCATCCAGAACTGTTTCCGGTTCAGACTCGGTTCCTAGATTATATATAGCCTGGCGCCTGGGCGAAAAAGCTGGATCGCTGGATGCGATCGCTGGATCGGTTCCAAGGCACCAAAAAGCTTGATAAGATCATGGCAATGGAGACGATTTGCACTGGTGGGTAGTCCGTGGCCAATACAACAGGCAATGAGAGCAAAGGCCCACCTTGCATGGTTGAGCGACTATATAAGTTCCGTTGAAGTGCATCTGCCGTTCAGATTAAGTTAACTTGAAGGGATCAACCGCGCTTCAACCAGCTGGGAGAGTTTATCTTCCTCCAAACCCTCAGGTGAGCTCTTTCATTTTTCAGGCTTGCAGTACTCCACTATAGTCTATATATAGTCATTCCTGAAGTCATCTAGATCGTTCAAAGGCAATGGAGGCGGCAGAACAAAAAATGTCATCTCCCCACGCAAAAAGGTTTCCCTTTAACGAAATTGGCAGAATGGGGAGTGAACATTCGTTTCCTTTGGCAACTTGCATCCGCACCTCTTGGAAATGTCCCAGGTGTTTGTTGGACAGCATATTTTGTGGCAATAGAACTTAGACCATGAACAAAGACCACATTTATGATAGACTCCAGGCCGGGGGAAGCATAGAACAATCAATGAAGCGAACTATAGTTGATGTTCTGCCACAAAAAAAAATCGAAAGACGTTGAGAAGATCTCTCTTGTGACGAAACGCAGCTCGATTGAACGAAACGAACTTCGTTTCCGTTTTGGAATGAACGAGGTTTCGCAAGGCATGTGCTTCGCGACGCATTGACCCACTCAAACGAGGTGTCTGGATGCGACGTTCGGAAGACCGTCGAGGGGGTGGTTGCCTCCCAGGAGGCAACCACTTGGGGAGAAAGAAAGAGGAAGGATTAGAATTAGACAAAACCACTTATAAACTCAATTAAACTGATTATATGTGGTATGTAATGGTATGTATAAGAAGAAACATGTATATACCAATGTCATCCAATTTCACCCGTTTCCTCCCGCTTCGTCCCTCCCAAACGGCCTCCCTCCTCCAAGGTACGTACCAGCAGGGGCACGCCAAACCACCAGGCGTCCAAGCGAAAGCGGAAGACCAAGAACCGGACAGCAGCCACAAAGGCGTCCCGACGCCGTACACTCCAGTGAGGTACCTGAGAGAACTCTCTGCACTTGGCACACCGCGGGCGCGGGTGGTGGCCCTGGTTGCCATGACATGTGGCATCCGAACATCTCACAAGGGGCAGTTTCAGTCCACAAAAGCCACAATCACAATCCGCACAGCAGCCTTTCAGCCCAAGGATTCACTGGAACCAATTGATTCCAAACAGCACCGACCACAGAAAATATTGCTTTCGCATGCTGTCTCGATCTTTTTCGCACAAAAACCACCGGCTTAACCCTTTCAACTTTAAAACGTTTTTAGTTCAACGTTCTGTTGACCAATTCCATCAATTTCGATCTGTCTTTCGCCCAGGCCACTGAGCGAACCGGTCGAACGGTACCGTGGGGGGGGGATCACGCTGCCGCCGTGCTTCACGCACCACCGCGTAGGTGCACAAGGCAACGAAGCCGAGCACACAAGTGCAAAGCATGCACCAACCAATCACCAACATCAAAGTGTGCTCCTGGAGGTGCAGGCATATCTCGAACTGCATGGCTTAAAGTAAATATGATCGCATATGATGATCGCTTAAGTATACCAAAGCCCAGCGGTTTCACTCTGTGTGTTTCTCGCCAAACAAAAGCATAAAACGCATGTCTCTATATATATATATATAGATTCGATGTTCATTTTTGCACCGGGTGCATGAATCTAATCCAGTGAATGACTCCCCTAAAATCTACAGCAATATCGTTCCCCAAATCTCTTGGATCTCTGAACAAATCTGCGGTTCACGCCGACGCTGGCCTGCAGATGGCGGAAGTATGGTCGGTCGGTCGACCCCTTTGGTCTTGCGTCCGGTTTCACACGGGTCCGCCACTCCAACCGTACTGTCGCGTCGCGCATGTCGTACTGTAGCGTCGCGCATCGGTCGAACAACCTCTCGAAACAGCCGAGCATGCCGAGCGAGTGAGCCCTTCCCGCTTCCTCGGACCCACAAATCACATCCGGATACTTCAAAACGCTGCGGAGGCCGTTGGGATGCTTGTAGCACCTAGGACTCTGTCGGCGCCCAGGTTGTTGCTAGGTGCCGGGGGGCAGTGAGAGTTCGAGAGCGAACGGAACACGTGTGGAGACTTCCGGTTTTGACGGGTTTGGACCGGTCTTCTTCGTCGCGTTTACTTGGATTGACACATGCAAAAACCCATGAAAAAACACCCCTTGAATATGACATGAAAACATGGCATCTGACGCTTGCGGGTCGAGGAAATCCATCTTCGCAGGGAAAACCTTTCTGCGCTGCTGAGTCACATCATAGGAGCCAATGATGCTGCCGACCTCACTGTGTTGTGATGGCGAGTGGCGAAACCATGATGTTGAACGCTTATTCAGCCGCTGCAAGACTTGGAAGCATTGGAAGCTCCAAACTGCAAAACTCCAAATTCTCTGCGATCTCGCAGCTTCGATCCACGTCTTCACGGACCTACGTGACGAAGAACCGCTGCTGTGTGCCCGTCGGAAGAAAACACAGGCAGTTAACGCTTCACGCGGACCGCCAAGGCCGCGACATGGTGCTGAAGCTCATCTGCATGAAGGCACCAATGGTGCTGCCTCAACAAGCACTTTTTGCAACACGTTTTACGCACCAAACGCACGCAACGCGAGACTCGACAGCGGAAAGGCGGAAACGCGTGGTGTCGAAAGACGTGAAGGAATCATTTGTGGAGAGTTCTGAGTCTGGTCTTAAATGTTGCCAGGTGTTCCCAACTGTAGATGGATAGATGTGGATAGTGCTTGGCTTGGCAGTGCTGATTTATATAGATAATCATCCCTCATCATCCCTCTGAGTGTGGTTCAACATGGATGACACTGAGGCCTGGCCCCGTCCCGATGTGCGGACTTCGTCTGACCTGCCGGATTCATCCGACGCTCTTCGCGACGAGTTCGGAGCAATGTTCGGACGCTCTTTTCGGGGCTCCTGGTCTTATAGTATAGGAACAAGGTGCGAACAAGGGCACTTCTACTGGAGCAAGAAGCCCTGCATTGTTCTTTTTTGTGTCGGATTCCTCCCGTGAACCGATGAAGAGCGGATTGTGCCACGTGGCAGACTTTGGAGCCATTCCAGTGATACTTCGCGGGCAGAAGCTTGGATGTGCAGAAGCAGCCGGTCAGCCAGAGAACCCCCACGGGGAAGATCAAAACGCTCAACAAGTAGCGGATGGTGGGGTTGGAGCCTTCGTGCGCAAAGTGCGTCGGTGGAAACAAAATCGGCCCGACGTGGAGACTGGCAAATGACGTGGGAATTGGAATGAAACTATCGGAATGCCTCAAAGATCACGCGAGTGAATGGTAGTTGAATCATCGTTGTTCTTTTCCTCACTTCATCCACTGGATGTGGCCAAAGTGGTAAAATCGGACTTGCTAGGATTTGTCTTATTAGTTTCCCAAGAGAGCCACGTTTCTACATGGAGGAACTGTCTAACGCCAAGACCTGTCCCCACTTTTTTTTGCCATGTTCGCCAACTCTGTTCGCCATGTTCGTCGTTAACATCCCACATGCAACCGGGAATTGGGTAAACCCCATAGTGATAAGAGAAGCAAGTCAAAGCCAGTCATTGTCTTTGCAAGCCATTCATTGTTTATGTGGGGTTCATTGTTTATGTGCATAGTATATAATTTATATAATATGTGTCAAATCACAATTCCTTATCCAGGATCCTTAAATCACTGTATTTGTTTCAATGTTGTTGGCTCTAATTGTTGTCAGGGAATCCAAAAAGAACGGCTGGCAAAATGCCTTCACACAACAGAGCCCTGCAATTGCCTGCATCCACACAGAACACAAATGACATGTGATTGACAGAACACCGAACCAAACATCACATTCGTATATTCTTTAAATATATGTTGAATGATTTTCACACTTGCCACAATCTTGGTGTAGAATCGCATGTTGAGTTGCCGGCGATGCAACTGAAGCCATAGGAATCAATATCGAGTAGGAGGAATTGGCAAACGCCAAAGATGCCTTGGGGACCGTTCGTTCCACGCCGGGTGACCGGAGAAGCGGACCGGTCGACCGGATGCTTTGAGGACGCCAGTTCTGGCTAGTCTGGCCAGTTCTGGTTGTAGTTTCAAGTTTCAACCGACGCCAACCAGAATCCTGGGTCCGTTGACTGCTTCCTAATCGAAAACTCCCGGTTTCCGGGCGCGACGTGTGAAGCAAGACACACCGATGCCAATGAGACGAGAGGATCTCATGTCGAGTGCCATGAGAAAAGGGATCAATGGATTGGTTTCAGGGAGAAATTGGCAGGACAGCATACGTGTTCACCTCCAAAACAATACGGTTTCCTTTTTAGATGTTCCCTATTCAAGCAATTCCGACAATCAAAGGCGGTTTTGGAAGAAGCCTGCACTCACACGGCTCAACTGAAGGGTCTTCAGGTTTTCGATTGGTTCACTTCAAGCGGATTTCTACATTACACCAAGAGTGACCACAAGTGCATCTGGTTTTAGAGTTTGACATGAAGGACAATGACGATTGACAAAAGTCACACATCGCCACATTAGCATGAGTTAAGGGTCCTGGTCCGGAAGCAATCCCAAGAGCACTCTAGAAATCCCACAAAGCGTCGTGGTTTCCCACATCAAACCAAAGCCTCATTGCCTTCCTTCGAAGTCTGGGAGATTCTGGAAGTCCGGGGTTTCGCTGGCTCATGCAGTTTGGTCACCATTACAAGTAGCCAATCGCCAGCATCACCCAGGAAGCGTGTGGTTTTTGTTGTCCCCGCTGATCATGTAAATTCATTCAACAACCACCCGAACTGGGTGGTGACGCTGGTGATGGTTGCCCTAGGTTTCCCTGACTTTTCGAACCAACCTGCACCGTGAAACCCACGAACAGTGTCCCCTCGTGTAGAACCACTGGCACTCCCTCCTCCCCGGTCGGAAAAACGCCAACAAACCCAGGCGTACTCGGTGGCACTCCGTCCAAGCGTCCCTTCAGGCTCTCGGGCCAGTCAATGGTCATCATGCCGATCAAGCCCAGATTCTGCATGGACATCACCTAACTCCAGAAGCGCTTCGTCGGCTTTCGCCGGCCGAAAGCCGAGCGGAAAAACTTGGTGTTCTTCGATTCGGAACATGGGATCGGCGTTGTCCGAACGGACTCACCATCGTCTCCTGTTCCCAATCCCGGCAGGTCGCCAGCAAGCCCACGGAGGCAGTCGTTGCGAAGAGCACCGTGGCTTTCGCCGTGACCTTGTTGGATGTCAAGTAGTACCTGTGATGCGGGCGAGCCACCAGAGTCCAGCTGAAGAAGGTAAGCTCAAGCTCAGCTCACAGTGATTGTCCTAATTATATAAGGCCAGTTGGGCGGCAGGAAGTTGATTCGTCTAATTGTGAAAGAATGTCCGGTTCTCCCAGATTGAATGCTTGGATGAAGAGACTCCTCTCATCAAAGAAAAATAAAGCTCATGACTTTTGGCAGTGAGATACAGCGCCAGCAAGAAGACGAAGATGCCCACGATGAACATGCCCTGAGAATTGGTCAGGACTTGCCAATTGAAAAGGCCGTGTCCGTGCGATGCGTTTGCGGAGGTGGCCTACTTTAGCATGCGCCAACACCTCCACATTTGGATTTTGCGACTGCCGGGAAAATGTTTGTGCCAGCTCCCCGACGAAACGTGTCAAGAAAAGAAGACACATCGCCCGAGGGTGTGAACATTGGAGACCACTGGCAACACTGACAAAGTATCGAACCATGCTACACCAGTGAACCAACGAACCATAACGAACCACTGGATTAAGATACATTAACATAATATCTACTGTAGTGATAGTTCGTGTGTTTCCCGTTGAACTCAAACACTCCCGATGGACCAATTCTCAGATACGGCCTGAGAGCAGATACGGCCTGAGACACTGCTTTGGCACGTACCATTCTGACCCCTCTTGCAGCGGAAGTGTTCTGTGAAGATCAATCAACAACGACACCTTCTTGAACCTTTCATGTTAGACGACGGTCACTACGGGGATCGTCGTCTAAGGTTGCAAACCTCCTCTTTCCTCCTCTGTCCAGCCTTGAAAAAGGGTTGTTGTCAAGTTTAGGCAGCAAAGGAACAACATGGAACAACTATATAACTGACTCCTTTCAGCAAAGAATGTATCAAAATGTGGTTTAAGATAACATCTATTGAATCTATTGGTTTAACCCTGGTTTTCACCAAAAAACATCCCAAAACTATGGGTTTTCCTGTAGATGTTCCCTTAAACCAATTCTTGGAACCGACCATCTAAGTTCCAGGCCCATAAGACCTGTCGCCATCCAGCACAGTCAGCGCAATCACTTCCCGTCCATGTTGAACCTGCAGAGTCCGAGAGAAGCAGCTCCAGCCACTGGGTTTGCTTGCAAATCGGCATGTATTTTAGTTTAATAAACTTAAAGGTATAGACCTCCAAAATCTCGCCCCTGGCTGCGTGGACTGGTCTATTTCCCGTTTCCCGAACCCACGGTTGCCTGGGAGGTCTTCCTATTGACACATGCAACAGAAATGTATGTGTTCGTTCTTGCCTCTTGCCACGATTCGTTCAAGGGTCTCCCTATTTCTACACCCAAACCTTTTTTGGCCTTCAAAATGGAGAGGGGAACCCTGTGAGACCCTGCGTTGTAAGAATCGGACTTGTCAAGAGATCGCAAAGAAATCCACGCGGCTTGTGAGAAATTCTTTGGACTCTGAGATTAGTAATTGACACCTCATGTTCTCCAGATGATTGATAATTAGGTCAAATAGCAAGTTACAGTAAATAATAAAACATTTGGCACATGTGGAACACAGTTGAAAAACAAGCGCAATGATAAATTCCATATTCAAAAAGATATCAACAAAGACTCAAAACAAAACTCAGAAAATACTCAAATACTCAAAAGAAAATAAAGTCTTGCTCCTTGGTTTTCTTTTTCTTGGAGCTGTGTTTGATTGTTAAAAATTTGAGTCTGGCATTGGTTTTGTTTTGAGTTGGCTTTTCGGTGTCTTTTTGGAGCTGAGTTTGGTATTGTTTGTGTTTTGAGGTGGCTTTTCGGTGTCTTTTTTGAGCTGAGTTTGGTATTGTGTTTGTTTTGAGTTGGCTTTTTGGTGTGTTTATATTGAGTTGAGTTTTTGCTTTGACTCTGGTTTGCTTTTGTTTTGAGCTTAAATCTTTTAGTGCTGAGAAGCGCATCTCTGGGGATTCGGGGTGTTCATACTAGTACCCAAACTCTCCATGGAATATGATCTGACCTCCCAAACCACCCCAACTGATTGGTAACATATTGTGAAATTGCAAGTCCAATAAATTGTTGGGTATGTTTCGGTATGTTTTTGGATTCACGGCACTTCTATACAATGGTTTTGATTCAACAAGGTGATTAACAAGGTGATTCGACATGAACTAAGCACAATTTAGTATGTTTCTTTGTAAACCACCTACCAGTGGGTTGCGACATCGCGATGACAAACCTTCCTGGGCCCCAAAACAACACACGACAACTGATCAAAATTATCCTCGGAGACCCCAAGCCTTTCAGAAGCCCCAGTTGTTCCCTTAACCTCTTTGGAGAAAAAAACAGGTGTCTGACCAGGCCGGCTTTCTGCCTCTCCCCCAACCACGTCGGACCGGTTCGCGCTTGCCGGTTTTTCGGGGGCGAACACCAATCGCCTTCGACCGGCCTTCATGGCACTGGGCGCAGGGCGTGTCGACCAGGCCGCCCGCACAGGTGCCCGGTGCTCCACCTGGGCAGGGCGCCTCGCTGCGGCAGCGGTAGACCTGGAGAGCTGGACGATGAGAGCTGTCGGTCGCTGTAGCCAAAGGAACCTAATAGCGGCCTCCACCGTAGCTTCTATGGCTACTAGTAGCTTCTTGTTACTGAGTCTTTTGTGGTGTGGAGCCGAAAAGAGTAATGCGATGTAATGCGCAGCCGTGGTTTGGACACCTTTCAAGAAAGAATTTCGGAAGAGAGTGACACCTCGTGTAGACTCTGGAGCAGTCGCGTGCCCCCCAAAAAAAGAAAGCAGTTAGCTCTCTGTTAGCACAATGAGGCAAGAAAAGGGGTGTTTGCAGTCTCGCCGTTGTTGTATAATCCTTTTGACCAGTCAGTTCTGTCAGAACCGCGTTCATGTCGGAAACAGTCGGCGACCGCACCAAAAACAACATTATATTAACATATAAAATTATGTATTATATATATATGTATACACATTACACACATATAAATATGTATGTAGACTGTATATATATATTTGTATAATATATATATATGTAATTATCAATTTATGTAGTTAATTACATATGTCACGTTGTGTCCTTCTGGACCGGGCTGGCCTCTGTGGGACTCAATTTGGTGCTGTAGAATCCTTTTTGAACTTGTGGGACATAGCCGTCACCCAAATCGCTTTCGCCACGGTGCAAGTCCGCCTTGGTACTGGGCGACGTGGGTGACTTGAATGGATTAGTTTCAATACACCCCTACACCCGCTCAAAAAAGACTCATGTCCGAAAGACTGATGACATTTCAACAAGTACCATGGTCCCCAGTAAGAAGCCTGTCTCTATTTGTAGACCCAGAAGGAGGTGACTCGGGGTGTCCAAAAGAATCACCCCAGTACTGGGTAGAAACACGGCTTCCCACACGGTAGAAATGTATTTTGGAAGAATCCACTAGCATACTAGCTGTCCCAAAGGGATGCTTAATTTAATGGAGATTATATATGAGTGGCATTATCCACTCACCTAGGACCCCTCTGTGACTCCTGGCAAACATCCATATCCAGGTACGAGTACCTTGGTTGTTCAAGCCCGGGGTGTATCCTCATGCATCCTCTATACCTTTTACGTATATGTTTACATCCCTTTACGCCCCTACCGCTGGATCAACCAACCGGGGCGATCGGTGACTGGTGGGTAACACTGAGTGCAAACCTCGTGTCCATCGTGACTTGAGAGGAGGGAGACACGAAAGGTAGGACAGCGGGAAGAGAAGAGAACGCG